TTTGGAAGCACAATCCCTCAGTCTCTAAGAAGATGGAAACCAAGCACTGCATGGCGGATCCAGATCAATATTTGATATGAACCAAATCGATGACATATAAACTCGCTTTTACGTTGGGTTGGTCAAAGCCGTCTCTGACTGGGAATGAAATAACTTTCTAGTAATTATTTCCCGTGCTCCCCTGTCACTGGTTATTCTTCGAAGTTATCTCCATGTGGGATCTTTTAGTGCGGAATCGAAGTTGGTAAAATTTTCAATACTATTTTTTGATATATATTAGTGCCAAATTTGTTCTGGGTCTACCTCTTAGTTCCCTCTTATTTTGTTATTTTCGGTAAACATCAATTTTTCAATCGATTTTAAAATGTTTGCAGCGATTAACATTAAAACTAACACTATATTCGTAGCCACACGACGACTATATTTGCCTAGTTACGAATTCATGTATTTACTACTAAGTCCATACTTAAACTACAAAAAAACTAAGATCTTTCAACTTATTACGCATGTACTTATGTATCTTGGCAATGCATTCAGCTTTTTATAATCTTTGAAACTTATTTCACTCGTACACATTAGACACACATAAAAATTCAAAGAAAAAAATTATATTCCTCACTTGCCGACTTCGGGATGTCTGCTATAACAATGTGAGATATTTAACAAGAAATGTGATAGAAACACAAAGAAAAAGAATCTAAGTGAATTTGGTTAGATAGCAAAAAATTATTTATAATTTTTGAAATTCCCAGCGTCTCTCGTGCATGTGTCGTCACAACAACGTAAATAAACCCGGTCCGATGAAGTCCTAGCGTCACAATTTTTTTTTCTAATTTCTCATGTATATATGTATGTATATTTAAAACGAAATTAGAAAAATATTCAGCGAGGATCCACTTCATGCGAAGCCTTAGCCTCACAATATACGCACACTCCTAACATCATCCGACATGCATAATTCACCACCTCACTAAGGGAATATCACCTGCAATAAACTACGATGCTAAGTCTGTAAAAATATCATCACTGATAGCAATTTCACACTCCCTGTACTCACACAATATTCAAACCACCGGCTCTGACTTGTGACAGTTCAAATCTTATATATTTACTTTTCTGCCACAAAAAAAGGAAACTACGTTGGAAAAAACTGGAACGGAATTCAATAAAAAAACCGTCCAAAATGACAGCAATCATCTGTCGCTGTACACTTCAACCAAACGTTTCCTAGCTTTGATGCTATCAGATGCGTGCTTTTAACGTCTTCATTCAACAGCCGACACAAAAGGCGAAGATCTGAGCTGAAATTATTTTGAAAATAAAATCACATATTGAGGGATTAAACACAGAATTGCGTTTACTCAGTATAATTTCCACAAGGAGACCTCTAACCAACAACAACAACATTTCTCAGATGAGTAAATCTTCATTTCGTTGATATAGGACACAGGCGTGTTCAAAAATTCCGACTTTAAAATATTTCTCTTCGTGATTCAATTTGGTCAAAAGGTTAATATATAATAAATAGAATCAGTTTTATTGCCAACATTATCATTTTTTTAAATCAAATTTTATTAACCGACCTATTATATATATATATATATATATATATATATATATATATGAACTTAACATCTCTATTTGGCGCATAAATGAAATTGTGAATTGTTCATTTTAATTGTTGTTTGACTTCTGTGATTTACATCAAGTAGACTAGATATCCGTAATGGTATGTCGAGTGTTTACTGAAAGTTAAATGAAGACCTTATTTTGAAAAATACCTGAAACCAATCGTGATAGTATGCTTTTATGCCTTGGAAAAAAAGTCTAGTTTCATTTTACCCGGTAGAGAAGATTTATAGCCTATTGACATCTTCTCCATTGCAATCCAAACAAATGGAAATGTTCATATCACTTTCAATGGAAAAGATAGATGGACTAAATCGACCATTTTTAATGACTTGCCAGACAAGAAATTGATGGTGCCTTGTTGATTAAAACACAGAAACTCTGTTTTGTATTATATAAAGATCGATTCTTCTTGGACACAGTGGTATTGTTTGCCCACTCAAAACATGCGTTCAGCAAATATGTGAAGCCACAGGATGCCAATATGGAGACCAACCAAAAGTGATGGATAAACGGAAAAATTGGAAAGTCGTGAGATTCTATACAATCAGTACACCCTGATAATGTCGTATCTTTAAGAAATGAAACATGTTTCTCTTTCCTGACTCCTTTGTGGTTTACAAAGTAAACATGACACCAACAAGCTAAAAGGGTGTTAGCCTAATAAATTACAGCCGTTTAGGCCATTTAATTTATACGAGAAAAATTAAATTTACAATACTATTCCATTTGTTCTGTCGCAGTTAGCCAACATTGTGTCGTCTTGATGCTGTATATGACGTCCGTTCATTGCATATACAGAGTGCGGCTGACATAGCTAACTACATATACCCCCCTCTCATATACTGATAAGACATTAGTGACAATGTCTTACCATTATTTTGACGCACCCTGTATAAACACATAACAAAAACTATTTCATACCTTATTGTGTGTGTGTGTGTGTGTATGAAAAGTAAGATTCCTCAGATGAAGAATCTAAAATAGAACAGATTTGGAATTTGGAGTCGAATTTTATATGGAGCACTAAGTGAGGGTCGATCTTATTACTCAGTAGTACTTGTTGTCTATAAAACGAGGTTCTTATTTTCGTGTCAACTACAAAATAATGTCAAAATGTCTTCTGTCTCTTTGAATCCTGTTCTTCTTATTGTCCTTTCTCTTCTGTAACGTTTTCTCAGTTTCCTTCACTCTACTGTCTTTCATCCTCAGTAACCCTTTGCTTCTTAGTGACTTTATCACCTGGCTTGAGGTGAAGGGATTAAAAATAATCAATCTTACTTCAAGAGTATGCACACAAAAATAATAAAAACTTTAAGTAAACTTCAAATACACTTCTAAAGTTTCTCTAACATTATAGAAAAGATGACATTGAAAACTTTTGCATTAACCTCATACATTAAAGCATTCGCTTAGCCTGATTGTTCTAAAAGTTGTTAATTACTTGATCTCTTTCTTGTTTGGACCACAGGTTTCTGGATTATCAGCATTAGTTAGCCAACAACTTATTCTCCTTTCGTCGATGACCCCGTGGGTAATGAACATGATACTGGCGTTTATCGTGTCCATAGCAACAGAAGTGACCAGTAATACAGCAACAGCGACTCTTCTGATGCCCATTATGGCTGAACTGGTAAGTTCAAGTCTTCGTCATTTACACTGGCATATATGTGTTTTAGGGCAAGCCAACTTCAAGTCCACTTTTACCATTTATCTCTCCATCTTTTTGTAAATAACTCGAGTATTATTCATAGTCAAATTTCCCAATAATGTTCAAAATAATTCTGAATGCTTTCAGTCAATAAAAAGTCAGGAATATTATTGAATTCCTGATAACTCAAAACCCCTGTTTTTTATACAGAGTATTCCAAAAGTCTTGGGAATATTTTGACATTAAATATCTCAAAAACTATTAAGGATATAAAAAACGCACCTGACATATTCTGAAAGAATTTAATCTCAAGTTTTACATGGAATGTTCAATGTGAGCACCGTTGGTCACACAACACACATCAAATCTGTCATCTTCCAACTTCTCTTACATTGCAATGCAAAAGACACGACGAGTTGGTTTATCAATGTCCTGCAACTGTTGGGTTAACTGTAGCTTGTAAGATGTCATGTGAAGTTGTCTTTTTAAGACATGCCAAACAGTTGTTGTAGGAAACTGAAGTTCCTTACTGGCTCTTCTGATCGATTTACGGGAACTCCGCTCGAAGGCAGTTCGAACTCACTCAACCGTATCATCTGATGTTGAGGGGAGTCCCGTTCTCTTAGCTTGGCACCAACACCCATCCTCCATGAATTTACCATGCCATCTCAATATGGACTTCTTTTCTGGTGCCTCTTTTCAGAATTTTGTGCGAAATGCACGTTGAACAAGTGTCCATGATTCAGTTTTTGCAAATTCAAAGATGCAAAACGACTTTTCTGGTTGAGTGAACGTCATTATTGGATCTGAAAAAATATGAAAAAATCATTAGCATTACAAAAAACTTGAATTTAGCTTTAAAATGGTACCAGTTTCATCTTACTACCATTCATAGTTCAGCAGATATTAGGACTTGAAATGTTCCCAAGACTTCTGGAACGCTCTGTATTATGATAATGGCAGTACAATTGCATTATTTTAAGTTATGAATGGAAACAATATAAAATCTTTCGATATAATCACTTTGCATAGCCTACATCAAATATTTGAGATAGAAATTTGAGTTACATAGAATATAATATTTTGGAGCAGGAAAACTAAAGCTAATTTTGAAAATTGGATGTTATTTTTAAATTCAGCATCCCAAAAGTAGCCAAAACATTCCATTTTTTATAGGTCTGTGTTATTCAAGAACAAAATCCCTTTCTTTGTGAATTATATATATATATATATATATATATATATATATATCACGAACTTTTCCCCAAAGGAATCATACATTATAGGACCTCTCTTAACGTCATTTCGTTATAAAACTGAGGAAAAAATAAAATAAAACCAAATATATAAAATTAATATTCACTGTGTAGAATAATCGTATAAACACGGCAGCAGACGTTCGCGTGTCACAAAAATACCAGTGATGCCACGGAGGCAGTATGCACAAATGCTCTGATCCAAGATCAAAGTGCCAATCCATGCATAAATAATAACGTTATTTTAAAGATATATATGTATGGTCTGATATTCCACACCTTATGTCTGTATCTATAACCGCTCTATCTTCGATATTGAGCCCTCTTCCCTAAAACATTATCTTGAAATCAAAAGGGCTTACGGTCATGTAGAAACACATTCTCGATATATTCACCGTAGTTAAGCTTGCAAATCGGAAAGTCGAGTTCCAGGCGAGTTCGTTTATATTCACTTCCATGCAAATACCTTCTCCCCCTAGTTATGGATTAGTTAGTAAGAATTGTATGAGTAAATCAATATTATCTAACAAAAATTCTCACAATCTAAAAATTTTCTCTGGTTTTAAATAACTTGCAAAAAATCTAATTAATCATTGAAATCAAAAAGTTAAAGTACGCTTCATTTTTCGATAAATTTAACGTTTTAAGTAAGTCTTAAAATATTCTTCTCTTTATAATCTGGCTAAAAAAAGAACATTTCAATTGTTTCTTTTTATTGCTTTCTTGTAGGCTCTTGGAATCAATTTGAATCCTCTTTATCTCATGATCACGGCAGCACTTGCCTGTTCGTTTGCCTTTATGCTTCCTGTGGCTACACCACCCAACGCGATTGTATTTTCAGGTGGACACTTGAAGGTTTCCGATATGGTAAGCAAAGTTTGGTTTTCTCACCAAATATTTGATCCTAAGTTAATTCAAAACCATGTACTTCTAAACAACAACCTTGATCCTGGTTTGTTTTGAAACTTACAAAAATGTTTTAATTCGCAACACAAAAGTTAGCCTACCATTCTGTTACCATGTTAAAATTAACAACAAAAATATTGGACTGTATTTTGCTTTGTAAGGTTTTAATATCATGAGCATACCTTAAGTTGTTACTGAACCAAAAGGTACTGGTTCCTCGTAGAATAACTCAGTAAAGAAAAAGATTTTAAGGTAACCCAAATCAAAACTACTTCTATACATTTTACAAAAGATGAAGTGGAATGTGTGGGCGGTGGTGGAGAGTTGATACAGCAGAGTTTAAGTTCTGATCAAGTCTGTTGCGTCCACTTCTCATTAATACCCTTGAATTTATCTCTTCTTCAGTCAGCTATGGGTTAAATAACATTATAATCTGGGTCTGGTCGGCAACCAGTCTAGAACAAGGACAATTCTGAATTCAAAACTGTAGAATAGGTAACGGTAAACAATTACACTATATTTCCCAACAAGTTATAGTAATTCACTTATAATAAAGAAAGGAAGTCTGTAGAGAGCCATGATCGCCTAAGTCCTGAATGGATATAATATATTCATTCTAGAATGAGTGATAATGGAATGTTGAATAAACCAGATATTAATTAATAAAGCTTTGTCAATTTTTTTAAAAAGTTCACTTAATACAAAACCCAAGAGCCATTCAGAGGGTTAATGAATGGGATGTGTGATAAGAACAGGAAGAGGAGGAAGTAGGAAGTGAAAATTATGACAATATAGAGGATAGTTAACGATTGACCCTTGACTTGAAGAAGCGGTCTATTCCACAAGGCAGTGTTTCTTGGAAAGAAGATTTCTGTCTGGAACATTCTTCTTACTAATGAAATACAGAAGGGAGGGGTGAGAGTACAACCCCGTGGACGTAACCGTAGCAAGGTGGGGGGGTTGAGCTGCAAAGATATGAGCTGAGAGTACCAAACAACGGAGATCGTAATTTACCATGGGAGTAGCGACAGAATAGCAATATACGTTTGTAACGTTGTGTCTGTGGAAAAGAGGCTGTAGAGTGGAAAATAATTCATCCCCCACAAGGCCGTGTAAATGATGTTGAACCTCTGTGAATGCTGGAAAGTGAGGACTGGTTCTTCCATCTCGGATATAGCAGAAATACTCTTTTTTTTCTGACTTTTGTAAAAAAATAAAGCATGGCAGAAGTCAGTACGTTCAAGGGTGTTACAAGCAATCGACCATTTTTCCAGCATCTTTGGCAATGAATTGTATATAAGTTATAGCATTAAAATCTAATCTTGAATTTCAGTTGTTAATAAGGATCCTATTGATTAGCACAGAGAAGCCATATTATCTTAAATTCTTCTCAGGGGAAAGAGAAAATTGAAATTCTTCTTTACCTCATAACTTGTTACTGCCTTAGTCAGAAGTAGAAAGGGAAAGAACTTACGTTGTTTTATATATGTTTTGAAAATAGACAGGAAATATGTTAATTATTCAAGGGCAAGTAACTCTTAACTGAACCAACATTTTAAAGAATAACATTTTCAGTCAGGCTAATGTCCTTATCTTGCTATTATCACAATGTTTGGGTCGTTGTACTTTCCAGCCGTCTTCAGATGTTTGTTGATCCAGGTATTCTTTACAAATTTCGAATTAAATCCTTAATTTAATCTACAGAATATCTAAACTTGTTCTTCTTATTTAATATAATTCTGTTATTTTTCACTATTTCTACTAAGTCTAAGTTTGTGCTAGCTGGCCCGCGTATTAAAAAGTCATGTCACCAAAGCTAAACCAATGCTTCAAATATGATAAGACAATCCTGACCATAGAGCGGCTGAAACGTGATGATAACAACAAAGATGTCCGAATAAATAATGTAAATAATATTTTATTGTGTATATTTGAAATTATAATTTTACAAAAATTGTAAAACATTAACTCCCAAAGTAATATTAATGCGGTTACTTATTTATTTTTTAAAGTCCCTACCTGAAAACATAATCACAATGAAGAATATTATAGCATTGAGTCATGAATAATTTCCGTTTTAGTCTATATCGCCTTTATTCTTCAAAAAATAAAGTACAATTATATTTTATTCAGTTCTGCATTCGTCTTTATTTGCAAGGAAGTGTTGTCGCTTAGGCAGCTCTTCGGTACCTTTTTTGAGTAAAATTTTTCAGGTTTTAATGTGAAAAAGTTTTCGTCGACACTTGAAGAATTTGGTTTTCATTAGAGAAAGTTTTCCCCTTCGAAGCGTTTTGCATCGATTGAAAAAGATAATAATTGGTTTCAAGTGAATATGGAGCGTGGAGGAGAATAAACCAACCAGTCTGTTCCTGTGTTATTCTTGCGTTGCTACGGAGGAAAATATTTTTTCTTATTGATGAGATCAGAGTTTAGCTTTCCGCTACCACTTTTTCATCAATGTCGATTTTCGTGCTAAAAGCGGATCACAGCTTCATACATGTTTCTGATAACCTGAACTTCTTATTGGACAATAAATATTAAAATTATCTCGTGTATCTTCCCGTACATTGTTCTCAATAAGCAACACAAAACATATCAGGCTCCAGACTGAGTTTTGTAAGGCGCTTTCTGAGCGGTTAACAAATATTAAAAAAACAATTTACCTGCTCACCATTACGTCCGAATAACATCAACCTAGTTTTTGACGTGACGAAAAAACAATGCTTTCGGGATCCTGTCAAGTGATTAAAAAACATATAAATTGAAGGTACGAACGAACCCAGTCAGTGAGAATTTACGACGACTAGCATTTGCTAAACGAGTTCACGACGCTTGTATCATTACTGCAGCGAAGTACAAAGTTAGAATCTCAAATTCTTTAACACGAAATAACTTCGCTGTAATTCAAGCTAAAATATCAACGAAACAACTCACTCACCAACTTCTGCAACTTACTAAAAACTATTCAATTACGTTATTGAATCTTACTGTTATAAAAAAAGACATATCTCGGCTGATTTACAGGCAAATAAACTAACATACTCAAGAGCGAGAGCCGGATGTGAACGGGACAAAGCCCCGTCACAAAATGACCGGTATGTTCGTTTACAAATGTTCCCGACGCACGAGTTCCGGTCGAAAAATAAAATAATATTTAAAGTGTTCTATTTTTCGTCCAATAAAAATGCTTCCCTCCTAATTATATTCGCTTCGTTTTTCGAACCTGTTAAGCCATAAAAAAAAACGCCATATTAGGGGTCACACGGAAGTACAACAGGCAGTCAACAGGTGGCCAGGGAAGAGACCTGTCACGGTCAGGCCGAGCGGTCAGCAGCTGTCAGCAGGGGAGCATCAACCAGCGTCAACATGTGTGAACTACTATGAGAGATCGACCTAGATCCGAAGCCGGCTTATGAACTATACCACAAGGTAGCTGTCCCAAACCCTCACGTTCCTGTTGAAATAAATCTCGTTAATCTATTTCTGCTGTTGTGGTATTTCTTTCTTGCAACCATACGCTTGTCTATAACATTACTAAACTTAAGTACAAACAATTACGAACAATACTTTCAACTACGAGCAGCGAAAACAAATTAGACATTACGGAACATTCACTCCTCCAACTTCTTTGAATCTAAAACTTTATCAACATATTTTCAGCTTTACAAGATTTTTTGAACTCTTTTTCAGTAAACATTTTGAACGACAAGATAATTCAGGTTTTTGTGAGCTCAGGTAAAAAAATATTTTATTAGTAAAGACTTTAGTCCAGCCAAAGGGAAGTAACTCATATTAATAGTTATAAAAACTGTTGTCATTTATAAATATAAATATTGTACATGTTATGAAAAGTTATTTTCTTGTGTTCTTTCTCTTGTTTGCTTACACATTCGTTAAGTAAAAAAAAATGTGTGGGTTGATTTATGCCGTCAATACCACTACAAGAGCCCTTTATTCTACCAAATTTTATGGGCATGTTACAGCTGCTGGACATATAAATATGCATTTATGTTTCATTGCATTTTAAGAACAAAATGAATAATACGCCGATGATCTTGCCACAGGCTCCTTTCTTCCGTGGAGCTTAGCTTTTGCCAATCGACCATCTTTTGCATTCAACATTGTAACCCATTTTTTATCATCTATTACGATAGATTTAAGGAGCGATTAGTTAAGAAATTACTTATGATTCAGCCTAATGAAAACACTGAAATCGGCATCTTTTTTCCTTAAAGGGAATTAATTAAATAATTAAATGAATTAATTCACAAAAGAAAAGCAACAACAAAATTAAAAAATAAAGCAGTAAATAAAAAAAATTTAAAAAAGAATCAAAACCATGTCATTTCATATAAATTAACAATTAAGACATATCCCTTTATTTTTCTTGCAGGCTTCAGCTGGACTATTTGTCAATATCTTTTGCGTCCTCACTTTGACGCTAGCAATCAACACATGGGGTGATTCAATTTTCGATTTTCACCACGTACCACGTGCGTTTTTTGATAACACCACCCTCATAACCACTTTGGCTACGTCCAACGTCAGTCTACCATAATCCACACACACACACACACACACACACACACACACACACACACACACATAAAGGCGCACAGTGGAGAGGTGCTGAAAGGTTCACGGACAGAACGACTTCTTAAATGACCAAACATCAGATTTATGGGGGAAGGATTTTTCATTCAGGCCAAGAACTTTTCAGCACGCACACCCTCATATATAATTTTGTTTTTCACGTTACATCGCGTATTATCGCTGTATAAGCCAAAGTAATGGCAGATATTTAACATGTATTTAGACGAAAAGTACTTGTGCCGTTGTATAGCACTGAATATTGTCTTACGATTAGAACAAGTAACCGTAGATTGTTCTCATTTCATATCAGTTGATTCACTTTTATGTCGTCTTCATGTTTCTTCCACTAAAACCAGACTAAATGTGACTTTTCAACACTGCCACTATTATTTTTCTTTTAATCGGATATTATTTCTTATTACAATAAAACGTTACATTTATTGGGTGCTCATATTTGAGTAGACATCTTTGGTGCGTGTACGCGCACGCGCGCGTGTGTAAATGAAATTAATGTCTACTGGCCTAGTGATCGAAAAATACTACTTTTCTTTCTTAAGACAATAGTATCCAGAATGTATGTTATTCATAAAAGTAATTAAAAGCTTTTGTAACGAAAAAAATTCTTAGTTGCATTACATTTTTATTTTACAATTTATGGCAGGTTTTCTGCAACTTGGATGCTGTTTAACTAACAAAATTTAATTCAAATTCTTCGAGGACTTGTGCTTATAACAAATATAAGCATTAAGCGATACAAAAAAGAATTTCTTGAAATTTCCTAACATTTAAATGAGTGGGGAGTTATACATACATACACACACACACAAACACGCACACACACGCACACACATACATATATATATATATATATATATATTATAAAGATTTTCTAAAAAAATTTTTTCAAAAATAATCTAATTAATTCCTGAGTAATCCGAAAATTGTCCAATTTTTGCAAGCATTTCCGAATCAATGTGTTTTTCACCTCAAAACGTATGCTTAAATTTCCCGTACAAATTGAAGGAACCACATTGATGAAAAAAAAAAGATTTAACCAAAATTTCGAAGGTTCTAAAAAGGAATATTATGTTTTTATTTAAAAATATGTTTGATATTTTCACTTAATCATTTGATCTTTCCTCAAAAAAACAAAGGTTTTGATAAATTTTGTTTTTATTATGTTTTGTAAATTTTTTTTATCATGTATCCTCCTTTTTTAACGAATCTTTGGAGTTATCTACTTTTTAACACATTGGCCGATAAACACTTTATACTTTGTCGATTCATTCACAATTATCTTTTAATAATCATACTTATTATAAAACCCAGGTTGTGTGTGTATATGTGTGTGTGTGTGTGTCTGTACTTTTATATATTGGATCGGATTTCCTACATTTTTCAACCGATTTCAACAAAACTTCACAGGACTACGTAAAATTACCTTGCGGTGGTTCTGACAGCGCCAAAAATTGGAAAAAGACAATTGTTTTTGCACGAAATCAATTTGAAAACACGATTAAGAGGCATCGCTGTCGCCAGAATGAAAGGGGGACAACTCATATCGAGTTATACTTATTATAAAATCCAGGTGTTGTGCGCGCGTGTTCGTTTATATATGGGATCGGATTTCCTACATTTTTCAACCGATTTCAACAAAATTTCACTTTTTTTTTTTTTAGTGTGTTTCTTATTGTCTTGCACACTTTTTTCTTTATTTTTACATTCAGAATGCTTTAAAAATTCCATTTACAAGACAATTGTTTATAATAAAATTCTATTCAATCGGTAGACTCATAACGATTGAAAACAATGTTTTTGTTTGAGTTTGGGTTTGACCAATTCGTAAAAAAACAAAAAAAACAAAAAACAAACAAAAAAAAAATTATTAAGACATGCGTGTCCCTCAACCTTAAACAATAATCTTTGTCAATCTTATTTTTCAGTCTTTATAATACTTGATCCATCTCTTACTGTTACATCCCCGGGCAACGCCGGGCTCTACTGCTAGTCGGAAATAAAATTATCTTTTATAACATTAACCAATTATATCGAAGAAGTATTTTAAATTAGATTGCATAATCAGCTAATTTGTATGACACGAATATCATGCTAATAAGTATGATCATTTACTAGAAAGACCTGCGAAAATTTCACGGCTTTCCTATTTGAATTTTCTAATGAATCAATTCTTAAGTTAATGATTGAATAAGCTCATGGCAAATTCTGATACCAATAAAATATCAGTAGCAATTCTCCTATCATATCAAGAAATATTTCAGCTAAACGGCTTTAACAAAATATTGCAATAACAATCATAATTAGGAATGCTGGACGTTATTTTAAGAAGTGGGTACAAATGAAAAGATTTGAAATTGATAACTTTTTCCATTTCACTGAAACAGCCTTTAAATGCTTATATTTTCCCCACGTTCTTTCTTTTATTTTCTCACTGAAACTAAGTAGTGTCTTTCCCCCTCTTTCCATGCCATCAAAACCAAACAGTCCTTTATTTTTGAAATATTGACAAGGTATAACGATCGTGCGAACTAACGAAGAGAGGTACAAGCACAATTATTATATAGATATTTCTTCGATCTTAACAGAGATTATTTAAGATAATCCCTGGTGGAATGCTGTATCTCTATATTAAAACTTTCGCCTCTTGGATATTAGTTTCTGTCTTTACTCATTGTATCCATTTTCATCCATCAATAAAAAAAAAATTGAAAAATAAATATAAATATTTGTCATGATAATATAACTGTAAAGGTAGAAAATAATTTAAAAACAGCTACTCTGACCTTTACACGTTTCGACTTACTTTATCCTTCATCGACTTTACAAATATAATTTCCACACATCAATCCATCTGCTTTTAATTTGTAGTAATCTGCAGGAGTTGCCCTGTCTTCACTTTTCAGTCTTGATAGAATCCAAAAATGTCTTCGCGTCCTTGAGGGTGATGAATTATTTTCCACCCTATAACCCCTTTCCCACAGACGAAACTTATTTAAGTATTTCGCTGCTCTATCGCTATTTCTATGGAAAGTGTTCAGACGACCTATGTTCCTTAGTTTCACCTGCTATACCGCACACATTTTAGCGAACCACTCTCATTCCCTTCATATTCCATTGGTCAGATATGTTCCACTCGAGCTGCTTTATGGAATCAACTCCCAAAAGAATGTTTCCTCGATCACTACAATCTTAACCTGTTCACGTCTAGGGCTGTTTTGTTTCCCACGTATCTCTATAAACTGCGCCTTTTACTATGTAATAACATATTTCGAATGGATCTTGGGCCTTGTACAGGGTGAATATTATTGTAAAAAAGATAATAAGTTATTTTTTTTTGTTTTGTTTTGTTTTAGGTGTAAACAACAGCCAAGAACTTATCAAGGGAATATTTTGTGTCATTATTAGTTTTAAAATGTGTTAAAAGCTTAAAATATCACGCAGAGTTAAGCGTTAGTAGAACAAAATGTAGATGAATGGAAACAATATAGATTTGGAAAGATAAGAGCCAATTTCAAGAATCGAAAGTGACGAAAGAATCCCAACAAGGGAATGATTGTGTAGGGGAGAATAAAGATTAAATAATATCGTGAACTGCTAGTTTGAGTATGCTACCTTCAGGAGGCACGGTGAAGTAATGGACAGCGGCTCGGATTGAGGAATCAAATCCATTACATTCACTTACGTGCTAATACCTTTGGGAAAGGTATGAATCCTTTTTTCCCCCTCCCCCCAAGCTATGGGTAAATATAGCAGGACAGTCCGGGTTCTATATCCTTAGATGGCAACTGGTCTACCGCAGAAAGAAATGGCAATCTACTGCGGGAAAAAAAATCTGTCTCGTCAGTCATGTATCGAAAGATACATGATCGCCTAAGTGTGTATCACGCGTGTCATATAACTGACTGACCAGCAGAAAGTAGAATCGGCGACGGCGAGTTCAATTTCCGACCGAGTCTGTTGCGTCTATTTTCTCACAAATGCCTTTGGGAAAGGTACGAATCAATATCTTCTCCCTTATCCAGTTATGATTTAAATAGCAGGATAGACTGACCTCTCTAGTCTTGAATGGTAACCGCTCTAAGACAAGGAAGACTGAATCCAATCCGTAAAGAAGGGAACGAGAAACCGTTTCACTATAGAAATCAAAAACTTCAATGTACCACAAGGTTCGTTTGGTGGTGCTGAGGTTTCAGACGTAAATAGCCTATATATTCTATATAAAAATCAACAAAATAGTATACATAAAAAAAACACGGCCTGTATAGGGATGACGGGCTGATGATAGTGCCAGACAAAATAAAATGACAATATAAGAAAGCTGCTCTTTAAACTCTTCAAAAGTCTCGACTTTGAAATAGAGGTCGATATGAATAAGAAGGCAGTCTAATAGTTAGATGTAGAATTAAATCTAGAAACTGGCAGTCTCTTCCCATACATGAAACCCATCACAAAATTAAAATACGTAAGTGCTACATCCAACCACCCTACGAGTAGAATTAAGCACATCCCTAAATGTATAAAGTCAAGGTTATCTAGAAAATCCTCTAGTAAAATCATTTTCGATGACAAAAAATAAAGAATATGAAAAGACTTTAAAAGAAGAGAGGCATAAAACTAAACTGGAATGTAAACCTCAAATAAAACAACAAATGAAGAATAATTCGAAGAAAATAAAATGATTATTTGGTTTAACACCCCCCTTTTAACTTAAAGGCCAAATGTTAAATAGGGAAAATATTTTTCAAATTACTTAATAAACGCATCCCCCAAAATTCCGAAATACACAAGATCTTAAATAAAAACACAATTAAATTAAGCTACAGCTGTACTAGTAATTTAGAAACGACAATAAAAGACAATATGCCAGGAATTTCAAACATTGTTAACAGTGAAACATGTAACTGTAGAAATAAAAGTAGATGTCCACTAGATGGGGTTTACAAAACT